CGTACGGTACGGGGACCAGTCTCGTACCAGTTCTCTGCTGCTGTACTTGTACTCAGTGTGACTTGCCGTTTCGGCATTGGGAATCCAAGACTTCGACTTTGTGCCTTGCCACTGTGTCTGCGTCCAACCCTCAGTCCGAGTCCGTCGTGTCGAGTGAGTGAGTGTGTGTGTGTGCTCTCACTCTCTCCCTCTCTCTCTCCTCTCCCTCGGCTCACCCTCAGCCTCACTCCCGTTACAAGGGAGGTCAAGTCTCCAGGTCGGGAGGGGCTTTGTGGGAGAGAGTGGGCATACCTGACATTGAATCCTCTGAGTCGGGATCTGAATGGGGGGTGGGGGGGGGGGGCGACCTGACCTAGGCCTGGACGACTTGGTAGCTCAGACTGGATCTGATGCAGGGACGGGATCTCAAACTGGAGCAGGACCTGGAATTGGACCTGGAGCTGCAAGTGGACATGGGCTGCTTAGATCTGCACCTGCATTTGACCTTTGACTTTGACCTTGATCTTGACCTTGATCTGTGATTGTTCATCAGAAGTATTATAATCTGAATACTCATAAGTCCAATACCATTGATGTCCAATCACTTTGATAGTAATTGTAGGATCTACTACCTCATCCATGGAATATAACAGAGCAACTGATGGTATTGCAATGAACATTAGTATAATAATAATACTAGGAAAAATAGTCCAAATGATTTCTATAGTGGTTCCATGAACAATTCTCTCTCGAATTGGTTTTTTCTTATAGTGAAAATGCCATAAAACACGAACCAACATCCATAACACGAAGATCAGAATCACCATCAAGCAAAAAAAGATATCATGATGTAGGATAGGGGTCAGTGCAGAACGCCTGCCCTCAGAACCACACGTGAGACAAACTGGAGCTGGACCTGGAATTGGACCTGGAGCTGCAAGTGGACATGGGCTGCTTAGATCTGCACCTGCATTTGACCTTTGACCTTGACCTTGATCTGGATCTGGACCTGCAGCTGCCATTGGACCTTGACCTGGACCTTCACCTGCAATAGGACCTGCCTGCATGGACCTGCAATGGCAGCTGGACCTTGACCTGGATCTGGACCTTGACCTTGACCTGGACCTTGACCTGGACCTGGACCTGGACCTTGACCTGGACCTGGCAGGACCTGGACCTTGACCTGGACCTGGACCTTGACCTGGACCTGGACCTGGCAGGACCTGGACCTTGACCTGGACCTGGCAGGACCTGGACCTTGACCTTGACCTGGACCTGCATGGACCTGCAATGGCAGCTGGACCTTGACCTGGACCTTGACCTGGACCTTGACCTGGACCTTGATCTGGACCTGGACCTGCACCTGCGATGGCAGCTGGACTTGGGAATGGACCTGCAGCTGCAATTGGACCTGGATATGGACCTGGAGCTGCAGTTGGGCATATGGATGGACGGATGTGTATACTTACGGCAAAGGGAAGGGCTAACGATCGTTCCAAGCTCTTTCCCACTGACTGCAAAAATCATGACAGCAGACATCAACAACACAACAGTTTGTGAGCTTCCACTTTGGCTTGGCGTTTTTTTTTTTTTTTTAATAGGCAAAAAGGAATAACAGAACCTTATGTTTCTGGCTCCTTTTCAATTCTGGGAGCATCACTCTGGCTCCTGGCGTCTTGTCTTTTTTTTTTTTTTTTCAATCCAATGGACCACGGATCAGATATTTGCTTTTTTTTTCCCCTTCTTTCATTAGTATTGTTATTACCATGACAAGTTTTGGAAAGTTCGAAAACTATGTATATATATCGTCAAATAGAACTGCCCGGTAAACCGTAGGCAGATATATATATATATATATGACGATATATATATATTGTCACATCACTACAAACTAAAAGAGCGCACTTTGCGGAACAAAGAATAAAAGCAAAAAACGGGCACAGCGATAACATGCAAAAATAAAAATAAAAATAAAAACAAAAAGAAAAAACAAGGGCAGATTGAAACCATTAAATTTCTCATTCTTCTTTGAACTCCACCTCCACTGTGCCTCTCACGTGCAAGGCTCGCCACGTTGATGAAGTTGAGC